CTCCAGAAGCATTTAAGAAACCGCCAAAACCAAATTGTGACACCAAAATATTTCTTGGTAACAGTGGGAGGAACCCACGGGTGGTGAAATCAGGGTTAATCAGAGAAAATCAGACTTTACCAACTCGCACCAGGGCCAGAGGTCCAGTGGATGTAAGCACACAAGAGAGGCGTGTTGCATGGTCACCAATTTAAGGTAAATGCTCTGAAATGCTGAAAATCAATAAAATCTGCATTATGCATCCTTATGGATTAAAAGCAGGGGGAGAGGGAAGATCAGTTATGACTGCAACCTGAAAAGCAACTAATTCACAGTATTCTAAAAAAAAATAAGCACAATCCTTTATTTTTTTTGAAAAACCCTATCACAGACCATTTTAAAGAAATACCCTATGTAATACAGAGCTGCGGTGGTCTGGGATGTGCACCATGTCTGGGGGTTAACTCTTGCCTTGAGGCCCCCTGGAAATGAGAGCTGCTTCTTCAGATCTGAGCCTGGCCATGCAAGTCCGTAGAGATACCACTTGGGTAACGCCTGTGTCTGCAGCCTGGAAAGCAAAAGGAAGAAATAAATCTGTACCTCTGCTGAAGCCTGCTTAATATGGAAGAGTTGAGAATTGCTTTCCTGTAAAGACTGATGTTCAGTGAATAAAACGCATCGTGTTGACACAGCAAGATGCTCCCCCTTTTGCTGTACTGAAATTACTGTGAAGAGTTCCCTTGCCCTGGATGTTTTTCTAAGCAATGCATTGGTTCATTGGAGCTGTCCCTTCAAAGCCTCACAAGACCTCTCCTGATGTCAGACATCAGCCCTGCAGCTTTCATCAGGGGCTGGTCAAGAAATGATGAAAACACCAGGAAACTGGAGTCTATTGAAATGGAAAGCAATCTGCCTGACCATGGCTTTCAGCACCATTTCACTTTGGGTGTTAATAGAAGGAAAAGCCTGGCTGTCTCTGAAAGAGGCTGGTTTAGCATGTTTAGCGTAAAATGATTTTATTTTCCTTTAGAAAACACTTCAAACGAGGTTTTCATCTGTTCAATAAATATACAACAGGAGTAACCTCATAAAGTCAAAGCCAAGCACTTCAATCTATCTTAAATACATTCCTGATGTTCGTTTCATGAAGACTTTGGAAATTTGGGTTATTTTCCCGTAGGCACCTTCCTCCTCCGCCAGCACAGCTGGTGGGAAGCAGACAAAGCTGGAGCACATGTACCAAGCCAGGCTGCAGGTGGATCCTCCTGCCAAGAGGGCTGGGGCTTCAGAACATGATGGAGATCATCCGCCCAGTCCTGGACCAAAGAGATGGACAAATTGGGGTTGATGTGGCCATGGCCACAGGTTTGTCCTCCCTGACAATTAACTTTTTTCGATGAAAACCCCCTCTGTGGGAAGATGCCTGTACCTCCTCGGCCTAGAAGGGAAACCTGGGAGACATTTTTAGTTTTCAAGCCCACACAGCATGTTCTTGTGGTGGTAAAATCACTTTTGTTCTACTATTTACCAATATCAAAACACTGAATTCAGGTTTTCATTTGAAGCAATTTCAAATCATTTTATGTGAATAAACCACCGCTTTTCGATGCAGCCCGTCTAGTCACAAATTACATGTTTATTCTTCTGTCCCACACAATAGCTGGAACAAACCCGAGCATTCAGGGCTGCTCAGGATGTATTTGATTTATCACACACTTCTCCAAAATTAGACAGAGATGTGCTATTCACATACGGCTAATTCAAATATTCCAGCATGGCCACTTTTCTCTAGAAGGATGAAATAGAGACAATTTTCTGCTCTGGGATGACTTTTCCTCCTGGAACCTACAGCGTTTTTCACTGAGGTACCTGCTCCTATGCTTAGTGCAGTAGGCTCTGCCCTACAGGCTCAACCTGGGGTCGCTACGAGGGCTGGGGACCTCCCCGGCCATCCTGGCCTTTGCAGGTGACCAGGAGATGTGCATGAACAAGAGAAACCCTGTGGCCAGACCCCTCCTTATCCAACCTCATCCACCAGGCAGCTCCTGCGGGTGTGCAGGCCCCTGGTCCTCACAAGCAGCCCCCTTGGCTTGTGCTACAGCTCCACTTGGCTTTATTTTTCTTCTTTTTTTTCCAGAAGCTGCAGCACAGGTTTCTTTCTGAGGCATGCGAAGCTGACTAATCCTTCAGGAATGTCTCAGGGGAGGAACTTCCCACAGAAAAGCATGGTGACTTGCAGCAACTCCCACCGGGTGCATCTGGCTCTGGGGCAAGGCTCACGAAGTGCTGGGGAAGACCTAACTCACTCCTCCTCACCTCCGCAGAGGTGTAGTCACAGACCTTAGCAATTTCCTCCTGCAGGAGAAAGAAAAAAAAGCAATTCCCTCCCCATTTATATTCTTTTAACCTTCTCCAATCTTTCCTCCAGAAATCAGCAGACTGCTTTCCTGCCTTTAGAGCACGCAGACAATGCCCGTTGTGGCCCCGTATCTTCAGGCATCCATCCCAGCCTCATGTAGCACAGGACTCGGTATCGGTGCTCTTTGCTGCATGCACCAGCAATAATGCCTGCAGAGATGTAAGAGATATACACAGAAATGCACCTCCTTCCACTGCTATCAGAAGTCAAAGAGGTGATTGCTGCCCCTCCATGAGCGTTGCTGAACTCAGATAACTGCTTTCCCATTTCAAAACCC